TCATTTTCATGACCACATATTTGTCAGTACAACTCAACCAAATGCAACAAGTGAAACTTGGATTAGATTCTGGACTTAAAAATACGGTTTTAAAGGATACTACAGTTAGAGAAAATGGAAATGGATTGTATGTTAGGTGATATTGTTGAAATAATGTTCATCTTCTTAGGGATGATAATGGCATTACAGTCAGCTAGAATGACCTTTCTCTTAGGCATGAAAAGCTTTATGAAGTCTATAACTTATTTTCAAATAGTTCATTTTAAAAGAACATAGTATACAGACAGATACAGCAAATGTAGCATAATGCTAATTGATAAAAAGCGTGAGTATTCTTTGCATTAATTTTTCAACTACTCTGCACATTCAAAATTTTTCAAAATAAAACATTTGGGGAAAATTCACACAACCAAGACCAAAATTAATAAATCTTTTAAAGTTTAAGTGTCAATATTGCTCTTGGCCTTCCTCCCTCCCAAACCTGCTGCATGGTACCTTCCATTGCCATGTTCACCCCTCAAAGCCACTGCATCTCAATCAGGTTTGTTTTAAAATCTAAAGGTACAATCATCCCTCACAAACACTACAAATTTGCTCTCCTAGTTGGCCAACCGTCACAACTCTTTATTTTTACTTGCCTAAATGGTATCACATTGCACTTCAGAAGTTGAAGCAAATAAAATTGTGCTTCGTAAATGGTACATGTAACTCCTTGATATCCAAGATTGGAGATTTTCATCTGGGAAAACTCGAGGTGATAATTAAGCAACAAAGGTTGGTGGAAGTAGTCTCACTTTAATCCTTCCAGAATTGCCAAGTCTCTAGCAAGAGCTCATTAATTTTTATTGCCGTGAAGGTGATAAGAATTTAGCTCTTCTCTTCAATTTCTATTATAGTCAGATGGAAATTAAGAAAATAGCATTTATCACCTTTATTTAAAAGAGTTAATGAACCTAGGTGTGTACCCAAGAGAACTGAAAACATATGGCTACACAAAAACTGTAATGGCTGTTTACAGCAGCATTACTCCTAACAGCCTAAAGGTGTAAACAGTTCAAATGTCCATCAACTGATGGACAAAATGTGGTGTATCCATACCATGGAATATTAGTCATAAAAAGGAATTAAATATTGACATATGGCACAACATGGATGAATCTTGAAAATATTATGCTAAGTTAAAGGAGACAGACACAAAGGCCACATAATACATAATTCCATGTTTATGAAATATCCAGAATAGGCAAATCCATAAAGACAAAGTTTATTGGTGTTTGTCCGAGGCTGAGTGCAGAGGGGTCAGGAATGAGGAATGGCTGCTAATGGGTACAGGGTTCTTTTCGGGGTGATGAAAGTGTTCTGCAATTAGATGGTGGAGATGGTTGTAAAACTCTGTGAATACACTGAAAACCACTGAACCGTGCACTTGAAATGGATGAATACTATGGTGTGTGAATTATATCTCAATTTTTAAAAACAAGTTAAGGAAAAGCAATTTCCTAGAACAGTTAAAGGGAAGCCCAGAGGCACGCTGCGTTTGACTGCCCCTTCAGTCTCCAAGTCATCACTGGCCAGAGTGAGGAGGGGCCCCAGACTCTGTAGGGTGCTCTCTACCCTCCCTTCCACTCCCTCACAGAAGCACCACTCTTAGCCTTGGTATCTGTAGGGCCAACCTCAGCACGCCCCACGTTCCTATTCACCACCAGATTCCCAGCATTTCCTCCAAGAACTCCTCATGCAAGCCTAGTGCCCCATCTCTTCTTCATTGTCCTCATTGTACTTACCATCTTTTACTCATCCCCCTCCAAAATTTGGTTTTGCTTTATCTCACCTGCACTTGAACAGTGCCTAGCTAACAATAGGTGCTCAACAAATTCCTGGTGAATGAATGAACTTGGAAGAAAAGTTTACATAGAAATGTGCACTGGGTAGTAATTAAAACATGAAGCTTTATGCTTTAAAATGTGTCTTTCTCCCATAAAAAGACTTTCTTCTCCATTTAAATATGTATCTAACCTTTAAGAAATCTTGCACAAATGGCTATTTTATTATAGATAATCTAATTTATAAATCTTTATGCACTTTAAGGAAAATATTCAAGCATATAAACATAAAAATTTCAATATGCAAAATTCAAATTACAAGAAACTTATTTTTAGACTATGTGGTTATTGCTGCACTAACTTTATAATTCCTTAGCCAGAGTCCAAAAATGTAGGCAAGCCCTAAAAATGTAGCAGAAGCATTTCCGCACAATGGTATCCATAATCTAGTTTGTGCAGAAGTGTTTCCACTAGATTCATAGAGCACTCTAGGGAAGGAAGAAGTGAAGACTGGTCATCTGGTTGCCTTTCGGGCCTTCTGCAACTCTTCAATGGGCTTCCATTCTTGGTTGATTGTTATAAGCTTAGATGAAAAAAGAAAATAAAAATGTTTTGTTAGGATCTTTCCTTTATCCTCATGCCCCCTTTCGGGATTTGTCCACACTCCTCTTTAGAAAAAGCATCACCATAGCATTTGTAACCAAAGAATCACCTCTTCCCATCTCTAAAACATGGAGAAAACAGTAATATGGGCTGGTTTCTACCACTCTGTCCTCCTAAAAAGCCCTCGCGTTCCTGAGTGTTACAAGATCAGAGACAAAGGTCTTACACATTTGGCCCACTTTCACGTGACAGGATCTAGATTTCTAACTTTCCCATGGTTTTATGTGAACTATAAGTTCAAAAAGTGAGTCTGCTCCCTGTGAGTGGATATATAATACTCCTAGCACAGGGCATGTCATCTAGCAGGCTCTTAACAAAATTTCCTCATTGTAATTACTCAATAAAGGTACAAATGATCTAAGTTATATACAATAA